CGGTCTCCTGTCCCCAAGGTGGCCGTATGCCCGGTTGCTGTCGGCCAGCGTTGTATAGCTCCCGCTTGAGCGGCCATGACGATTCCGGCATACGGAATCTCTAAATAGCGTATTATACGGATGCTATAACTAGAACATCATGCATCTATTCACTTGTAGGCCTCGCGCACCACGGTTCCCGCCGTGAGCGGCAAGCCCGTGAGATGCAGCACTCGATACGAGTTTCGAGTTGAAGAACAAGTTCTGTCAAATTACTTCTCGTTTGCAATCGCCATCAGCAGTCGTTTTTTCTGTCATTAGTTTGTGTGAAAGAATTTCGTGAGGCCCACACAAGCTACATCGCAAGCTTGCAGGTTACCACTTCCGCTGCCCCGTTCCCTCCTTATCATTCTCTGCGGATTTTTGCGGAGTGATTCACTTGAAAAGTAGCATTATCTTTGCACGATCTGCATTCGAGCCAAACAGTTCCCATCGAAATGTGTTGGGGGGGTTCAGCAAGTCGACCTCTCTCCGAGTGATCAACCTAGGAGGGGTCTATTGGCATCTATGCTGCATTGGGTGCTCCTCCGGGTGACTGGCGTCATTATAACAATGAAAAGCAAGAAGCAGACATTCAAGCTGCCTGGCTTGTGCAGGTGTTTCTGGTTTTTGTGGCTGTTTGTGGCATTCTGGATTCTGGAGCAGCAGAATGTTTACTCATCACAGGCATCAGGTAAAAAGGCCGCCGAGGAGGATGCAGAATTGGAAACCACCAGAGGAGTACCGGACGATACGATGGCTAGGTTGCATGCAGAACTGGCTGCCCAGCAGGAAGTAACGAATCCCCAGCTGGCGAGTTTACATCTTACAGAGACTCGATGCCACGTAATTGCTTTCACTGTGCTTTTCTTAATCTTAATAAGGGAAGTTGTACTTCTCAGGGAGCGAGAGCGCAAAAAGAAGGCGGAAGAAGAAGTTAAACCTCCCCAAGAGGAACCCCAACTTGAAGGGGAGGAAGGAAAAGAAGCAGAAGAAGCAGAAGAAGAAGGAAAGCCTGTGCAGGAAGAAGAACCTTCACCGGAACTAGTAGTTTCGCAGCCAGAAGAACCTGCAGAAGAAGTACCCCTGCCACAAATGCCTATCGCACAAGTGCCCGTGCCGATGCCGCGGCGTAAACCAAAAGCGGAAGTTCCACATGAGAAACAAACGAAACAACCAGAGGAGCCTGGTGGAGATGCAGTACCAGATGAAGGATTCGTGCAGAGGCCGATAGCTCGTGCGAGAAAGACTCGAAAGGAGTTTGTCCGGAGGGCGGGGCCTGCTCCCGCGGCCCCCTCGCAGGTGCAACCAGGTATTGAAGAGGAAGTGGCACATGGGCAGGGGCCTCCTACCGGGGCTCGTGGCCAGCTGCAACCAGGTATTGAACAGGAGGCAAAAGAAGTGAAAGCCGTTCAACAACCGGCTCAGCCACTACCTGTAGAGCCTACGCCAATGCAGCCTACCTTGCCACAGCTTCCAGAACAACCAGCGCCAGCTCCAGTGCGTGGTGTGCCGGAATTGGGCTATGTTGTGCCTTCTGTCCCTCCAGCAGTCGCCCCTGTGGCGCCCCACGAAGTTCCAGAACCCGTACCTGTCATGGATGTCCAGGATGATGAGAAATTGCGAGATTTGAGGGCTCGTCGGAACGTCATCAGCAGTCTAGTGGG